TGAGCATATTGCTCATTAAAATGTATTCCTTTTGACCTTCTTTCTCAAAAGTCCACCATCTACTTTTGTTTTCATAACATTTTGTTATCGTTTTGATCCATATACAAAAGAATGGGCTTTCTGACCTAAGAGAGGCAAAGATTTTGGAGAAAAAATTGTCTTGTTGTTGATATTGATTATTAAGCTCTTTTGTAAGCAAGTCTCTAATATGGGAGACTCTCGAATAGCCAGGAGAGTCTCCTGATCGACCTTGCGCCTGGCTCTACTAATGAACGCAGTTTACTTGTCTTAATGTAAGATCTAGTTGGAAATTAAATTATCTACAGAACTATATTTGCACACGACTTGTAACTTGATACTAGTACAATGTAACATCATAATATCTCTATAATTTGACATCGCATTCTTGTGAAATATGAGTCATTTTTTCATTCACTTTGACTATCTTCCTAGTAACTCATCTTGGCCTGGGGCTTGGGGTTGACCAAAATCTTAATTCTCTGAAGTCGGAGGTTGTTCTGCAGAGACTACGTCGGGCTCTACTAATCACCTTTCAGGCTTTAGTTTTATCAAAGAATTCCCAATACAATTTTATTTCTGTGTAGGCTGGGGAATATGCCATGGCCACCTCCTCAGATTTTACATGCAAAGAGCAAAGAACGTGTTTGGGCACATCCAATGACCAATGTCATATTTCACGAGAATGCTTTTAATTTTATGAATGTAAACTTGTCTAGAAAATAATCAAACTTACGATAAAAATCAGTCCTGGATTCTGAAGAACAAAACGAACCAAGCATAGTCCAATCTAGTCTGCGAAGAAAAACACAATGGTCCACAAAATTCACCACTCATAACCACAGAACTAGAAAATACCAGTCCTGTGCCCGTGACGTGGAAAATGAATGTGCGCGTGCGCAGATATATTAAAGTACAGTATATCTCAACAAGCGCGCCAGCCAGCGCCAGCGTGCGATAGAATTTGCATGCCTCCCTGTAGTATTTATCGATCGTATAAACTAACCGTGGACCTTTCATCTCTCGTGTTCTTTTTGTCTCTCCATCCTAACCTCCCGTTCTATATATCACTCCTATCTCCATTTCTTTTTCTTTTTTGATACACTTCATCAAGGACGCAGCATTTTATTTCATAATCTGACCAAAAAGTAGGTATCAACAGGGAGATCTGAGTTTTTACATCTAACATGTACCTGTCATTAAATAAACTGGATATGAACTTCATGTCTACCACATATACTTATTACCTTGTTTGAAATGTTAACAGGTACACTTTTATACACATGAGTTTGAGCATTGTTTGTATTTCAATATATATTTGTTGGTAAATAATATTAAGCAATCCCTATAATTCAATATTTAAGAAATGGTTGAATTTATATCATATGGCACCCCTCCAAAAGATCTAGAGCATGTATAGCGATTGACACATTTTGGTACGTAATGATTCAGAAGTAGAATATGCCAAACTATGTAAGATAAATGCGTTTTTTTTTTTTGTATCTGGAATTGCAACCTTGAAACATATGCTTTTTCACACAATATCCAACGATATTTTCCAAACTTTGTATCTACAGGCAAACCAAAAATACAATGACGCCAGAACTGCTTGCTTAAAAACCTACGTAGGCTAATGGTATTTGCAAGACCCAAACTTGACTCTCAAATTTACTTGATAATAGCCCTATCAAGAAACACTTTTGTATGGCTCTTACTTCATCAATCAAGAAGTAAGTATTACTATTATTTTCGTATTCATCTCAATCACTACTGCTCGAACTGCCAATGTTGAGAGGGTATGTAGGTAAATTAGTTTAAACCACCATCATTTCTTAACTTAGTTTGTTTACCAAAAAATGTATTCACTTAAACTTGTCAAGCACTCGTCTCTTACGAGAATACTCATTTTGATTATTCTATAATCAATAAAATAATAAATAGAGAATCATTAAAACCTAGTCTGTTTTAGAAATGTTTGGGAGGTGATTTTATTTTTGTTGTTTTTATTATATCTCAATGTATCACGGTTGAGATGATCTTTGAATCTTTATGCATATTATACTGGTCCTATTCAAAATCAATAACTTAAAGATGGATGATAATCAATTAACTTTTCTCCTGAGATACATATCGATACTGATACTTTTCCATGTTAAAAGCATTTTAATCATTATAGAAAATGTAACGAGATTATAGTCACTGTACTAACCGGGATATTTACGGATAATAAACATTAAGAGTCAGTTAAAGTATGGGAGAATATCTCGTATTTAGGAGACTGTCTCGACTATTAATTGTCGGAGACTTTTGTCAGGATTTCTGGTAGCCTATTTGAACTTGGGAGACAGACCCTCATTTGAGATACAATTTAACGTCATTATATCAGAATTAAACATTGCATGCTCATGGATTATGAGCCACTTTTCATACACTTTGACTTTCTATGAAGCGGGTCAACTAAGCATGTGACCAGGGGTTGACCGAAATCTTCAGTCTCTGATGTAAACGGGTGTTCTGCAGAGTCTGGCTCCACTGACCACCTTTCAGGCTCTAGTTTTATTAAAGAATTCCCAATAATATTTTATCAGACGGTTATTTATGTGTCTTTGACTTACTTGAATTTAATAAGCCGTCCACACCATCACTGGGATATATGATGGCTCTTCTGTTTCACAACGGCTTGCCACATCTTCCTGTCTTCTGTTAATTAGCCTAGTGGCTTTAGTCAGGGAGTCAACTTGTCTGTTTGTGCAGTCCGCCTTGATGCAGTCTGTCCATCTCTTAGCTGGTCTTCCCCTTGGGCGTTTGCTATGTACATTTCCGTTGAGAAGGATGTGGGGTATCTTTTTGAGTTCATTCTGTTGATATGTCCAAAGTATCTCAGTCTTTTTGTGGCAACCCTGTCGATGATGGTTTCTTCCATGTTAAGTTGTGTTCGTATGTGTGTGTTTCTTAGCCTGTCAAATCTGGTGACACCCATGATTCTGTGTAGGCTGGTGAATATGCCTTGGCCACCTCTTCAAACTTTACATGCAAGAGCCAAGAATATGTTGGGACACATTCAATGACCAATTGCTTATTTCACGAGAATGCATTGAATATATAAATGTTGACTGGTCTACACAAACAATCAAAACTTACACTAAAAATAGTCCTCGATTCTAAAGTACAAAACGAGCCAAGTACAATCCAATCTACTCTGCGAATTACCTAGGGGGCAAAACCCCAATTTGAGGGGATTTGAAACACGGCGTGTTGTAAAAGGTCGTTCCGTCTCAACGTGTTCGGGGGACATCCTTGCACAATTTGTAGTTGGACTACCTTTGCAACAGGGAGCAGGGGTAGGGTGAAAGTTCTGAACCACACCATGCACTATGAACATGTTAAGATGACAATTTCTGTCTGTTCCTTGGAACAAGTCTTATTTCATGTATTATTTGACATATGTCCTGATTTGTAGGAAGCTAAGCGTTCTCCCTGCTTTTGATGTCACTGACTCAATGTGTGACTTCCAGCTAAGTCGTTCGTGGAGTTTAACTCCCAATTATGCTTGGCTGGAAACTTCACACAAATCTTCACCTCACATTATGTGCCCTTTTCCGGTGGATTGTCATGGTGTATCATTCTTTGGGGTCGAATTTCATCTGCCAGAGTTTCGATTAGTCCTTAATTTCAATTCAATTTCACATTGAGACTTTTCTTTTGAGGTTGCCATCATAAGCGAGGCGTGACTAGAATGATGGTCTCCTGAAATTTTTCCATAGATAGTTAGGATAATACTTTAAATTCATAATAACTATTAAGTTCGTTATTATATGTATATATAAATGTAAATCACATGTTGACATGAAGTTATTGTTTGCATAATTGTAGTATACTTCACGTTAAAGGTACTACGTCCCTTTTGCAGGCAAACAAACGAAAAGGTTAAATTCCAATGGCATTTGAAAGATAATACTAATTTAGAACTCCTCTTAAAAGAATGGGGCTTGAAAATGTCTTTAAGTGGGAAAATAACGACTATTAGTTGTCAAATTGACTTAGGAACTATAGAGCCAATAATTAATAGTCTTGATTTTCATACCATTGTACCGCATGGTCGTACAATTTTTGCTGCGCAAAGATTCAATCAGTTTAATTTTGGCCATTACAAGAAGTAGGTTAGTGATGTAGGAAAATCCTTTACAGCACATTTTATGTATGTTATTACCAAAAAAAAGAGAAAAAGCCAGTCAGTCACTCAATACTGACAATAGTGTATGGCAGTGAAGTCTAGCAAGTAAACGGGTTTCCTTGGATAATTTGAATATTAGAACACTGCTAACGTTTGAATTTCACAGATAGGACAAACATGAAATATTCATAATTCCTGCAAAGTTCTACAGAATTTGAGGTTGGCTGCAAAAGGGACATAGTATCTTTAATATGTTCTTTTTTATTCAATTATTGTGTTTAGAAAAATCCTTAAATAAATTCAAAATCAAAATCAATTTCAGATGGATTCATGTGATATTGCACAGTTCTCTAAAATTTGCTCGGGTTCAGGTCTTTATAGTTAGAGGAAATTCTTCGCAGATGTCAAGTGAACGAATTGGGTTTATTCCAATGCTATCAACAGTTTATGATCACTTGAGTCTTCTTTCTCTGGCATTTTTACATTGATTTTAATAAAATGCGTTGATAAAAGCACATATAATTTAGTTCAACAAAATGGTTGATGTAATATTTGAATGGTTTGTATTTTTCTAATTCTTTGATTATCATTATAGTTCTTGAAAAGTATCTTGATCTGTGTACATTTAAGAAGGCATTTACATAAATTGGGCAACATTAAACAATGAGACGATATATGAGTGTTGTCATCATAAGTTTCAATGTTCATATCAGTAATCTAAACAAGAGAAAATATTTACAAACTTTAAATTTGAACAACTTCCGATCCCCCCCCCCCCCCCTCTCTCTCTCCTCTCGCTTTCCTTATCATCCCAAGGCATGGTGTCCCTAGCTGCAGCCGTACCTGGTCTGTGGTCTATAGAGGGCGGTAACAAGCTCGTGCCTGAACAGCTGTTTCATAGACTGGTACAACGCTTATGCAGTCTCGGGTACAGTCCGTTGAATGTGTCGCCAGTGAGAATGCTGGAAGGCCCGCCTTCAGAGTCACATGGAACGAGGTTGTCAAAGGTCTCAAGAGTGAGGTCTTTGACATAGTCATGATGGCTTCACCCATAGAGGACAATCTCTCAGGTATCGACTTCATAGGCTTCGATCATCCAATCACCACCAACTTCACAGGCGACTACCGCCACACGGTTGCCACTCTCATCGAGGGGCGTCCACGAGCATCCACCTTCGGAGTCTCGTCCGCGGTTGAGCTCCCAGGACAGGTCATCACCAACATGGAAGTGCCTCTGAACTTCAGAACTCTCGCCAAGAACTTCCCCGTGGACTATAACCCTGTCATGTTCAACGCATCCAGGCAACTCTACAAGGTGTTCTCAATCGGTGTCTTGAACGATACGCAGATGGAGGCATTGTTCGAGTCGTATTCCGAAGCGACGCACCGCGATTGGTTGGCGTATCCCTATTACCACCAGCGTAAGGCTTTCCCTGGGTTTGTTTTGGCGGAAGGCTTGTTTTACCACAATGCCATCGAGTGGGCTGCTAGTGCCATGGAAATGGCTGTCATAGGGAGTAGAAACAGTGCCATCTTGGCCTACCAGTACTGGAGTGGGGAATCCCCTGAAATGAAAGTGGGAGCATCTAAAGTCAGGCAAGAACTATGAATGTACCATTATCTTGGCCAGGATTTAATTCTGTACGGGATTAAGTCAGTGTTTTTTACTAAGCATTTGACTTGGTTAAGTAATGTGACTCTTAAAGGTATAGACCAGTTCTGTTCATGCGATTACATTGTGAAAGAAATGTTGTGGAATCGATCAGAAAAGGTTAATCATCTTGCATATAAGTATTGGTGTGTACTGCAAGTTTATGGAATGATCAAAATGATAAGAAATTTAGCCCAGTCTTGGTAAAGTTACAAGCACTGTACACAGAAAGATGTATATGGGACTACGCGATAACTATCCGGTCCGAATAGATATAATAACTTACCAAATATATCAATAAGAGGTTCCATTTCACTTTTGAGAAGGGCGCGTTTTCAAAACTGTTCTATAACTTTAACCCATTTTATATTGCACCTGAGCATTTTACTTTAGTTAACCAACTTTCAGGCAAAATTCTGACTGATAAGCATTGTGACATTTCATGATCATTCCAAAATATTCTGCAATTAACAAATTACAGTAAATAAAGAAAGTAAAATTGTGTGTGGCTTATAATGACTGCGTACACAAACCAATGCCTGCCAATCAAGGCGTCCAAAATTATTCGTTTAAGTCAGCTAGGGAGCTGTCTTAGCCAAAAGCTTCAATTGAATACCTAAGTTATCTAAGCATTTAACTTTCGAAAGCCTACAACTGATTTTAGATAAGTAATGAATTGTATACCGGCCCTTGTTCCTCTAGTCTAGAGTTCTGCAAAAAGTGGGTGGGATTCTCTCCCCCCCCCCCCCCACTCAGTGTTATTTAGGGTACGCGTATGCATGTTCCCTCCTTTTGAAAACACCCCCTATGTCCGGTGTGTAAAGTCAATACGGGCCGGATTTTTGTGTACTACGACCCAGACTTGTTGCGTGAAAAGTACCCCTTTACCGAACATGTTGGTAACACGCATGGTATCCCTCTGTTCACGGAGTGGGGGGGGGGGGGGGGGGGGGGGGGGGCGGGGATTCTCTTAAGAGTAAGTCAAGAATGATTAACGTATATCATTCCTTGTTGAAAGGGAATCATGCAAAATATCTATGCAGTATGCCTGATTTTATAGATAATTATGACTTTCCCATTTCCAGATGATGATCATGCAGTTCAATATAAAACTTGTTCTCCACAAAAGATGTTTGTGTTTGTGGATGTACATTGTAGAGCATCAAAATGTTATTAACAGAAATGTGTGTAATTTACGTTGAACTAGTGATATGATGGGGCCATGTTTTAAATTATTTGTTGCCAACATGCTCTTCAATTAAACTTAGATACATGTAAATCTACATACCATTGAAACAGGAGCCAGAGGATTTTTTTTTTAATTCCTTGTTATAATGAACTCTCGTCATCACCAATCAAAAACAAAAATGTATTCTTTATATTGTTTTAATGTACTCATTAAGCTCCAAGATAATATGTAAATCACTGAAATATCTGATGTGATCGACAAGGCCAGACTCGAAATGGGAACAGGGGCGTCGCTAGACCTTTTTCAGTGGGGGGGGGGGGGGTGTAGAGGCTTACGATTACCGACAAAACTAGCCACCAATTACCGACAAAATTAAATGTCCAATATCGAAAAATTCAACCCTATAAACCTGGGGCCGAAGGCTAAATTGTTTTTCCTATGGACTATCTCTTGTACTTGCATATGCGCAAAATGGTCATTTTCCTCGACGACATAAATATACGAATTATTTCTTCAATTTAGTCAGCATCATAGCTAGACATTTTAATGCAGGCGCGGAGCTGGATCTTATTTTAGGGAGGGGCGGTAGTGAGCAAGAGAATCACTTAAAAGCGCGCTCATTAAGGGGGTGTGGGTGATGGGCCTCCCGCGCGAAGCGCGGAAGCTTAGACGTTTCCTTAAATTATTAGGAAAAGAAGACGATTAATATAATACCGTTTTCGACTGATAATCCTTGGCTCAATGAAGTTCCCCCCCCCCCCCCTCCCGCGCGAAAGCTTTGGCGTTTCATTGAATTATTATAAAAAAGAAGACGATTTGCTCTACCGTTCTCGACTGTTTATCCTTTTCTGAATTCAGTTCCCCCCCCCCCCCTCCCGTGCAAAGCGCGGAAGCTTTGACCTTTCATTAAATTATGAGAAAAAGCAGACGATTCGGTGTACTGTTCTCGACTCTTAATCCTTATCTGAATGAAGTTTCCCCCTCCCGCGCGAAGCGCGGAAGTTTAAACGTTTCATTAAATTATTAGTGAAAAGAAGACGATTCGTCATACCGTTTTCGACTCTTAATAAGGCCTATTCATCTGAATTCAGTTTCCCCCTCTCGCGCGAAGTGCGGAAGTTTTGACGTTTCCTTAAATTATTAGAGAAAGAACACGATTCGTTGTACCGTTTTCGACTCTGAATAAGCCCTATTAATTTTGTCTGAATTCAGTTTACCCCTCTCGCGCGAAGCGCGGAAGCTTTGACGTTTCCTTAAATTATTAGAGAAAGAAGACGATTCGTTGTACCGTTCTCGACTTGTCTAAATGAAGTTTTCCCCTTCCGCGCTAAGCGCGGAATTTTTTGCGTTTCATCACAATATAGAGAAAGGAAGACGATTCATCGTACTGTTTTCGACTCTTATTAAGCCCTATTCATCTCAATTCAGTTTCCCCCTCTCGCGCAAAGCGCGAAAACTTTGACGTTTCCTCAAATTATTAGAGAAAAAACACGATACGTTGTACCGTTTTCGACTCTAAATAAGCCCTATTAATTTTGTCTGAATTCAGTTTCTCCCTCTCGCTTTGACGTTTCCTTAAATTATTAGAGAAAGAAGGCGATTCGTTGTACCGTTCTCGACTCGTCTAAATGAAGTTTTCCCCTTCCGCGCGAAGCGCGGAATTTTTGGCGTTTCATCACAATATATAGAAAGGAAGACGATTCCTCGTACCGTTTTCGAATCTTATTAAGCCCTTTTCATCTGAATTCAGTTTCCCCCTCTCGCGCGAAGCTCGAAAGCCTTGACGTTTCCTCAAATTATTAGAGAAAGAACACGATTCGTTGTACCGTTTTCGACTTTTAATAAGCCCTATTTGTCTGAATTCAGTTTCCCACTTTCGCGCGAAGCGCGGAAGCTTTGACGTTTCCTTAAATTATAAGAGATAGAAGACGATTTCGTTGTACCGTTCTCGACTCGTCTAAATGAAGTTTCACCTTCCGCGCGAAGCGCGGAATTTTTGGTCTTCCATCACAGTATAAAGAAAGGAAGAGGATTCGTCGTACCGTTTTTGATTCTTAAACCTTGTTTGAATTGAGTTTCCCCGAAAATGTTAAACCTCTGATTTCTTTAGCTGAACTTATAGGAAAGTGAAACTTCGAGAAAATACAAGTATTGTAGTTGTAGTCACTCTCGAAATGGTCACAACGGATAAGAAATCACAGTTCGTAGGGAAAAAAACTTGTCGGCCGACCAACAATATACATCTCACCGACTTTAAACTTCTGCATTGATATAGTACACGAGGATCGAGCAAGAATACCGACACAGCTGACACGACACAGCAACATATTTACCCGTGTCTTGCTTGCTCCCTCGACGAGACGACTCCACCCAACAACCCCTTCTCTCTTTTACTCCCACTCCTCCTCTCTCAGACTCTTATCTCCCCTCTCTCTCCTCTCTTTCATCCCCCGTATTTTTTGTTTCCCTTTCACTCTTTTTTCTTCTTTTTCCTTTTCTTTCTTTTCTTTCTTTTCCTTTCTTTCCTCTCCTCCCTCTTTTTCTTTTTTCTCTTTCTTTCTTCTCTTTTCTTTCCTTTCTTTTCCTTTCTTTCCTTTCTTTTCTTTCTTTTCTTTTCCTTTTCTTTTTTTTTTTTTTTTTTTTTCTTTTTTTTTTTCTTTTCTTTCCCTTTCCCTCTCTTTTTTCCCTCTCTTTTTTTCCCTCTCTTTTTTTCCCTCCCTTTTTTTCCCCTCTCTTTTTTCCCTCTTTCCCCCCCTTTTCTCTTTTTCCCGACGGCAGCGCAATTTTACCGACAAAATCCTGACAGGTGGGGGGGTGTCGCACCCCCCCACACCCCCCCCCCCTTTGGCGACGCCCCTGAATGGGAAACGCGTGAAATTGCAATTAAATACCCTCAATTCTATATTTAAAATATTGCATGCATCATTGTTCACTATAGGATAATTATAGTCATCTCCAAATTTATAATTTCCCTTGTGCAATTATATTGCGGACCCTGTGAATATAACACTACTCTGAAAATTCTGAATTTGTTGGTTTATAGATCTTGTGATATTGTTCGCCAAAGCATGTAATGTGGTATACTATCATTGTGTGTGAAATTTGTAGTTACTTTATCAAGTGTTTAGTAGATATGTATTGTGCATAAAGTCTTTATAAATGTATTGATTTTTATTTTCAATCTATTTGCAATAATGTGCCATTACTATATCTGAAATAATATTTTGTCCACACTCTCATAATGTCTTTTAATGTTGTTATGATAAATAAAAATTACACCAGAATATTTTCAAGATTATAATTCATTAATGGTTGATTACTTCCATTATGTCTGAGTGATGATTTACATGACATTGCTTTTTATGAAGGTTTTTGTTTTCCTTCACATTTTGATGATTGTGCTAGTATCAACATTTGTAATGCATTTACAATGCATCAGCACTTGCAAACTGGCCATTTGCAATGACCACCTCAAGATATTTGTGATATCCCAGTTTACTTTAGTTATCCTAAACAAACTCAAAGGTTTCCCTTTAGAAAAGAGACTAATACTAACATTGAGTCATTTAGAGAAAATTTATTAGAAGAAGAATGAACAGATGTTTTGAATTAACATAATGTGAATAATGCATACAAACATTTCAATCGTAAATTACAATATTATTATGATTAAAATATTCCTCCTGTCAGAGGAAAACGTAGCTCTAACATTTCAAGAAACCTACGGGTTACGAAAGGCATTATGAAATCAATCAGAACAAGAAACTACCTTTAAAAATTATATAACTATGCAAAACCCAACCAGCACAAATTACCCCAAAACATCGCGATAAATGATAAATGTTCTCGAAAGTTGTAGTACTCTGAACAATGAAGTCAAG